ACTGCAAGACGTGGGCGACGCTGCTGCGGGGATTTGCTCGCGGCGGAGAGATTGGGCGAGCGAGAGAGGTGCTGGATCGGATGCCCGAGACGAATGTGGTAGCGTGGACGATCCTCGTGCAGGGTTTCGCGCAGCGCGGGCGAGTGGGCGATGCGAAGGCCGCGTTTGATTCCATGCCCGAGAAGAACAGCATCACTCGCGCGGTAATGCTCGTCATGTTTGCAGAGAATGGATTCGTGGAGGAGGCGGAGGATGTCTTCCAGGAGATTGTCCACCGAAACGCGATCCTCTGGGGGGCGATGCACTGGTGCTATGCCCAAAATGGGGATTTGATTCATGCCAAAAGTTTGTTTGATAGGATGCCTCTGCACAGCATACTTTCGTGGACGATTATGATCAAGTCATACGCGCTAAAAGGTGACGCTGATCAAGGAAAACAATTGTTTGAAGCAATGCCACACAGAGATCTTGTTTCATGGAACTCGATAATCGCTGTTTATGCCCAGAGAGGTCGTTTCAAAGACGCTATACGAGCGTTTTCTTTGTGTTGCTGCTGGGATTCCTATTCATGGAACACAATTCTCGTGGTATACGCTTTAGATGCAAATATTTGTGAGGCAAAGAAGACGTTTGATAGAATACCAACTTGGAATTTGGTCTCCTGGAACACGATGCTAGCAGCATATGCCCAGAGTGGCCATGCGTATTCTGCGATCCAGCTTTTTTGGGCGATGTTTCTTCACGGCTTTGATCCCGACAAGGCAGCGTTTGCCATCGTTTTGACGGCGTGTAGCCATCTGGGGCTTGTCAAGGAAGCAGTAAGCTACTTCACGGCAATGAGCTTTGACAATGGATTGGACCCTTCGCAAGACCATTACACCTGTATTGTTGATGCTCTAGGACGGCTAGGGCGATTGGAAGAGGCCGAGGATGTCCTGGAGAATATGCCTTTGTCAGCTGATGGAGTTGCATGGGCAACGTTTCTTACCGCGTGTAAAAACCACGGGGAGATGAGTCGAGGGATGCATGCTGCGGAATTTACGTGCCAGTCCAGCCTTGTGAGTGATGCATTGCCTTATGTGATGCTGGAGAACATCTTCAGAGCAGTTCAGACTTGATGTGTTGACCCAAACATCGATCGTTGATATCCAGCCATTCCGTGAGCCGCCCCATCCCCCATGGATGGAGAGCGGGACGCACAGAGGATTGAGCATAGGAGAGTCTTCATGAGGAGCATAGTCCTCCGCCTCTCGCGTATGAGTCCGTGGTGTCCCATGCATCTGGAATGTTAAGTGCAGTGGGTTTGCTATAGTCAGCAATGCAAGATCCAATGCTGCTGTTGTGAATTTCAGCAGCAGCACTGCGCTCCTCCTGCTCCACATCAGTGCCATGCTAGGCGTGGCAATCCACGCCATGCCGGTGAGAGTGAGCCGTGGAAGTCTCTCATGAGCTCTTGTTGAAAGTGGGAAGCAGTGGTGTGGAAAGCTTGCGTTTGAGGCGCGGGTGGAGATGGGCTCATTGCAGTAAGGTGATAGCTCGATCCCATTGCCTTCCTTTTGTATCCTATCTCCCTCGTTGCCTCCCGACATGCTTCATATGTTCTCCTCTCTGTGTTCCATATGTTATCCTCTCCGCTTGCGAAGCATTGCACAGCATGTTGCTGGAGCTGGGCCTCAGCCCATTCGTTGATGGCTAGCATTTACGAAGGCTTCATTGGATGTTGATATAAGTTTAAAGACAATTGCCCCACTTTTATGATGGGCTTAATCTATGTTGACTGGATTGTTCTTTGCAAAGCATGTATGCAAGGCGATTTTACAAGGAAATTTATCAAATCTTCCGCAAAGTCAATGCCATAATCTGTCAAGAACCAAATCCTTGGAGAGCTTAGAAATTAATATATGCATAATGAAGGATAGTTAAAGTAATTTGATGATGAGAAGTTTGACATATGTTATCAAACATATTATCTAGCATAGCAATCAGGGATGCTCAACATCCCAAACAATTCTCCCAATTGGAAATAAGAAATATCACGAGTGCCATTTCCTACTCATCCATTCCCTTCGAAAACTTTCTTTCTATTCTGCAGGGTGGAGTTTTATATATAATGTTGTTGTATAGGGCAATATTGCTTCTTCAATGGCAACTAGCACTTGTTCAATGTTTCGTGACCAATCTATTCCCTTCTCTTCCAATATCATGGAATATAAGTATATGAAAATTTTCAAAACTAACATAGTTGTTTTGAATCGTTAGGATCATCCTTTAGTGATTTTAATCTACATTGAGTTATAATTTAAATAGATTGCTACTTTGTCCTCTATGACATGCTAGATGGAGAAAAAGTGTTATACAAGCTCATATTTTTAATGCATAAAGTATTCTTTACAAATCAAATATTTATTTTAATAGCTTTTTTTCTGCAGGCTATTTGCAAAAGAACACCCACAAGGTGTATGACCTGTTTAGTATTTGCACACATATCAATTTTGTTATATTTATATTTTTTATTTTTCCACAATACCTATCTTTTATGGCTTCAGTGAAGTTATAGTCATTTACACTTTTGAGTATTTCTTCAATTTAGGCACTATATTTTTGGTTTTCTTAAGCAAACTAACATAGGATATACCTGGGTATTCTTGAATATTTTATAATTTAATTGTTGATATTTATTTAGAATAATTTTATGTTTATAAATTAAAACATTTTAATAATGGTCATCACGTTGATTGACTGACAGTTTCAGCAAAAAGATGTTCTAATTTATTTTCAAAGCTTTTAAATCTTAGAACTACTAGTTCAATGTTTGGATACATAAGTTGCATGAATTTTTGTTTTTATCATTTCCCAAGTGTCTTTTATTAACCTCTGTTGTTCTCCACCAAAGCTTAACATTATCTACTAAGTATGGTTTAGCACATGAGACTTTCTTCAAACTTAATAATAATAATGCTTAAAAATAATCTTCTATATCACCACCACCTTATAGTCATTCATGTTTGCATGTGTGATTTTGTGGCGAGGAAGCAGGAGCAACAGAAGGTCCTCCAGACAAGTTCTTCTCAAGTAACCAACTGCCACCTCCATGCAAGGGTACTTTCCACGAGCTCATAGGGTAGAGGGCTAGCTCTTGATTTTTTTGGTTGTTCTCTAGGCTCCAATCTGTTAGGAGTGATGCAAAGAGACTGTTATTGATCAGGCCAGGGATTTCCAACCCAAAGCTATGTTTCTCATACCTGAAAAGTGTATCCATGAAATATACATATCCTCTTGTAGTTTCTCTTCTAAATAGAAGACAAGTGCCTGAGGTTGTACATATCGAAGTACAAACCAAAGAAGCAGATCAATGGATCTCCCCGTGACGTGTCAATCAGCAGTCGAACGAGGCGAGCAGCGCATACTTGATCCTCTTCCAGTCGATCCACTTTCCTGTAACCAATGGTGCTACCGTTGCTCACCAGGTACCAGCCCAGCTCGCTGTCCCATGCCTCGACGTGATATTCCATGACCCTTTGTCCCATGTTTACTGGCTCTCGGATCTCCAGTGCGTTGAACTTTGAGACCTTGCCAAGATCAAGCTCGATCCAGCCGGTCGACTCCCCTTGCATTGGAGCCCAGAAAGTCTCCATACGCTCGTCAAGGATTTGCTTCGGCCCGAACGAAGAGCTGCGAACGCTGCTTGCTGTCACGGACAAGGGATTCGCTGCTAAGTTGACGCTGAAGATGGAATCTATGGCGGAGCTAAACCGCTCCAGCGTCTGGAAGTCGGATTCGTCGATCAGTCCCGACGAGTTTGGAGGGACGTTGAGCAGGAGCAAGCAGTTCCTGGCGGATGATTTGTAGAAAACGTCGAGCAGCTGCTCCAGGGATTTTGGAGCCTCGTTCCTGTGCCAAAACCAACCGGGCCTGATGGAGATATCGCACTCCGGAGGGAGCCAGTCGGTTCCAGCACTCTCTCCAGACATCAAGTACCTGTTGATGTTGCGAATTGGATCGAGTTTCACGAGAACGAAAGTTTCATGCAAGGATGGATTTTACGTACTGGCCATCGCTCCTGCCGATCGTAATGGAAGATCTGTTCGCCATCGCCCAGCATGGTTGTCCGGCCTCGCCATACTCGTTCCCAACCCATCGGATGTCGGGGCCAGCGTCGGAAAAGATGTTGGCACCGGGTTGCAGCTGATGAATCGTGTCAAACCAGAGCTCAAAATCGTAGCTCATGTTCACTGCAGTGGGTGATTTCGCACCATCCAGCCACACCTCGGAGATCGGCCCATATCTGCACGCCAAAACAAAATGCCGCGTCAAGGCATCTGCTGCTAGAGATGAAAACTACAAAAGCCCACAAGCTCGCGAGCTCCTAATGCTAAAACCGTTTGATGGGCTGGAGCAAATGCAAACATATCACACAGTGACCATGCCACCAAGAAAATGCGTGAAGAAGAAGCAAAGAATGTCTCACTCACCCAGTAAGAAGCTCTCGGAGCTGAGCCAAGTAGAACTCGTTGTAGAGAAGAGTGTCGCCATAGCAGCTCTCGTGCAAATCCCATGGCGAGAGGTAAAAGCCCACGTCCAATCCACGCTCCCTGGCGGCGGCCACGAACTCGGCCACCACATCCCCCTTCCCTCCTCGCCAAGAGCTGCTAGCCACGGAGAAATTGGTGTAGGCCGAGGGCCACAGGCAGAACCCGTCGTGGTGCTTGACCGTGAGGATCACGAGCTGCGCGCCCGCGGATTGGGCCGCGTCCATCCACTGCGACGCATTCAATCGCTCCGGGTTGAAGATGGAGGGCGATTCGTGGCCGGATCCACGCTCCGAGTCCGTGAATGTGTTGACGCCGAAGTGGAAGAACATCGAGAGGCGGCGCGAGTGGAACTGGAGCTGGCGCCATGAGGGAATTGGGCGGAGAGGGAGCGGTGGGGGCGAATTTAGGGCGACAGCTCTCAAGAACACTAGTATCTCGAGGAGCAAGAAAGAGAGATGGAAATTCATTGCTATAGAGAATGGAGGAGAGAGCCAATCTTATAAGCCCAGTGGAGTAGAGGAATTCTCACCAGAGAGTAAAATCTTTGCTTCTTCCAGGGTGTCCTTGTTCTTGCAAGGCAAGATGGATTATCTTCTTCTTCTTAGCCGTGATCTCCAAGCTAGATTGGAATGTTCTTTCTCCGTCCAGGATTCTCAAGAGCTGTGGAGGTCGCGCCCGGATTTTCGCAAGGAATACCTCGCGACTCGCGAATGCGTGTGAGATCCAGCAAAGTTTATGGCATTGCTCTTCCCCAATTTCGTGATTTCCACAGACACCTCAGAGGATTGCTTGCTCTCCTGGGGAGCACTGCTCAAGAACTGCCGGGATCTGTCACAGGGGAGGCAAATCCACGCCCGCATTGCGCAGAGCGAGCACCGCCGCAACAAATACCTCGCGAATCTGCTCGTCCAGATGTATGGCAAATGCGGCAGCGTCGATGACGCCCGTGCAATCTTGGAATCCATAGAGAATCCTAAGCTCTTCTCCTCCAACATCATGATCCAGGCCTACGCACAGGCGAAAGATCTAAATCGAGCGCGCAGAACGTTCGATGGGATGCTCCGGCGAGATGCCTCGACGTGGAACTCGATCGTCACGGCATATGCCGAAAACGGGCATCTTGATAAAGCGCGAGAGATTTTTGAATTGGCTCCAGAGAAGAACGAAATCTCTTGGAATGTGATGATCACGCTTTGCATCCGCAGTGGAAAGATAGCTTCTGCCAAGGATTTGTTTGATCGGATGCCCGTGAAGACGATCGTTGCGCAGACTGCCCTCCTCACAGCATTGGCCAGGAAAGGGCATTTGGAAGAAGCCGAGGCTTTGTTTGAGAACATAAAGGAGGAGCGCGATGTAGAGTCATGGGCTTTTGGCTCTCGCTGTCTACAGACAACTCCAACCGAACAGCAAATGCAGGTTGGGCAGTCTTTTTCTCTTGAGTTGATACAAACGAAGACTTTCTGGCGACAGGCAACTGCATTTGAGGTGAAAAGGCTACTGATTGCCGGAAAGCAGAAAGAGGCTTTACGGGCTGCTCAAGACGGGCAACTTTGGGGATGTGCTCTTCTTATGGCCCGGCAGCTGGGAGAGAAGGTACCTTGTCTTGTAGCTTCGATGTATAGACCGTTAGTGATGGTCTTGTGGTTTTTAATAGTTCTACACCGACACTATAGCGGACATGGCTCAACGTCAGTTTCAACCAGGGTTTCCCCTCCGGACTCTAACTCTTCTTTATGCTGGTCAACATGCCGGAGTGTTCGTAGGGAACACTAATTCGTCGAACGTAACAGCGCTTCAACCTCAACCGGTTCCAGCGTCCGCTGTAGATGGTGCAACACAGGTGAAATACTTTTATCAAGCTACTCTCTTGCTTAAGGAGTGCATGTTGACTTGCAGGACGCAGTAGAAGGAATGCTCGAAGAATGGCAGGAAAACCTGGCTATAATGGCAGCTAACCGAACTAATGGGGACGAGAGAGTGATTATGCATCTTGGTGATTGTCTCTGGAGACATCGAGATGAGATATATACATGGTCACACGTTGATGTTTCTCATAGTTTTAACTTGCAGATATGTGGAGCCCATATTTGCTATCTTGTTGCAAATGCTAGTTTTGAGCCTTTCTCTACTTCTGCCAGACTTTGTCTTATAGGTGCCGACCATTGTAAGTATCCACGCACGTACGCTAGTCCAGAAGCTATCCAGGTAAGCCGTGTTTGTCCTCAATAACAATTGTTAACCTTTTCTTCATCAGCGAATGGAAGTGTACGGATTTGCAAGAGTGACTGGCAATTCCTAGTTTATTTTACTTCCTTTTCAGCCATACAAGCTTATTTATGCGTCGATGCTTGCTGAAGCTGGAAAGATAAACGAAGCTTTAAGGTTGGTAGTGATTTTTAACTGTATCCTTAAGGTTTCTCTTCGAAGGTATTGCCAAGCGGTGTTGAAAACATTGAAAACAGTGGGCCATGCAGCTGATGTGTGCAAAGAAGCGGCTGTAGCCTTGGAAGAGCGTCTTCGTATCCACTCTCAGGTTTGTAATCGGACACTCGGCTTTTATACTCACTTTCCTGTTATCCAGGGAGGCTCGACGTCAATTGTGCAACGGTTTTTTGGCAATATTGGTCTACACAAGATGATAGGCCCTTCTTCCCCGAAAGCTTCTGATATGCTGATATTAATAACTGTCCCGCAACAGCTTCTAGCAGAGGCAGTGTATCACTTGCCTCGTCGGCATCAATGGAACCCATAAGTGATAATACGAGAAAATCCAACATGCCAGCGAGAAGCATTTCTGAGCCTGACTTTAGGCCTGCACAGGTAACTCGACTTGCTCTTGTGTACCTTCAATTAAGACTTGTATTCTTTCATCAGATCGTTAGTCTAGCGAAAGGAACGCCAAACAGAGGCGTCTTTACTTCTTTCATGCAAAGAGCGATGGGCTTCATAAAAACACCTTCGAAGGAGGTTTGTAGAAGCTTTGGAAAGAGCGCTAGCTGATTGATGGTTGGTACGTGATGCAGGCAAAGCTTGGCGACAGCAACAAGTTTAGATAGGGTTGAAGAAGGAGCCGAGGCACAAGCGCCAGAGCTTCCGTTGGCTCCTCCTCCCACGGCAAACAAGCTCGTCTCACGCGTGGAGGAGAACGGCGCTCCTGTTTCCATGTCTCCGGAGAGACCACAGCCAACTCCGGAAAGGCCGCAACCGGTTGTGAGTGGAATCCCACCAATGCCTCCGAGCAGTAACCAGTACGCAGCTCGCGCACGTCAAAACGTTAGATCAAGGTATCATTCCCAGCACTCCAATCTCACGAGGTTTTTGCAGATATGTCGATACATTCAACAAAGGTAGCGTAACACCATCCAAGACATCATCGGACTCTCCTCCACTGTTTGGCGTGGTGCCAAAGGCAAGCGCAAAGCCTTTAGCTCCAGCGAGATTTTTCGTGCCTGCGGCCGCTGCTGCCGCTGCTCCAGATATCAACAGCAACCATCCGGTGGATCCTTCCTCGGCACCGGCCTTTGTCCCCGACACGGCATTCTCAAACGGGAATGGACCGTTTGCAGCAGCAGCATTCGCTCAGCCGGTTGTACAGGATATGAGAAACGATCCGGGGCCAACGCCTGATCATCTCTCGAGCGGCTCTTCACCAGCAATGTTCTATTCGAATCACTATCCAGCAGCACCGTCGACCGTCTCGTTGCCGCCACCTCCAGCTCTGGAAGTCACTCCGCCAGTGATGGTCGAGCAGCAGCAGCAAAACCAACACCAGGAAAGTTCGATTCATCGGCACCACCATCAACAGTCCGGCACAGTGGGATTTGAAGCTGCCAGTTCCTCCGGAGTGTTTGGAGACGAATTGCAAGAGGTGGAATTGTAAATCACACTCCACAAGTAAGTAGTAGTGACTGTTGCTGGGTGGATTTTGGTAGAGCAGTGTAGCGAAGTAGTAGTCGTGGAAGGAGGAATTTTTTTTTGGCTGGGGTGATTCTTTGGAGCCAGGAAACCGTTGCACGAGTTAAACCGCTTTGCAACATTAAACATCTGTACTACATTATTTAATAATCCTGCCTAAATTCAAACAAAACTGATACAAGCTATTAGTATCATAACACTACCCTATTCTTTGTCAAGCTTGCATTTCAAATTTTCACCCTCTTAGCCTTATGGTTTTTTCTTAGGTTTTATTATTTGGGTTCTCTATGGATCACATCTTAGGAGGCATTTTTCCTTCCTCTCTAGCACATCTTAAGCACATATCTCTCCCACACTGTTTTGGTTTGTTTATGGCCATGGTCTTTCCTCAAAACATATAGTTTCCATTATTATAAAGAATATACATTTGTATTTTAGTATTGCTTGGTGTTGTGAGGGCCAAGTGTACAGCTACGATGCCATATACTAATATTAGCATAGTAAGATTTTAGTAGCCGTCAGATTGGTTTCAATTTGCACCATTCGCTCTTGTATATAAGTTAAAGTTTTTAGGCTAAATGCTATGCACATTTTCTATATTCCCTTTCCATATCTCAAGAACTCACATTGGTGGAGGTGAGGGGCACCTTTGATTGTCCCTAAGGAGTGTTTGAATTTGGGATTTTGGTTTAGATCTAGCTTTTGCATCGTTTAGATTTAACTTTTTCCATTTCCTTTCTTTTGTTCTTCCTTTTTAGGATTTTGGTTTAGATCTAGCTTTTTGCATTGTCTAGATCTCCCATTTCCTTCTTGCTTTTTGTCGTTTCTCTTCTTTTCCTCTTTCTTCATCCGTCTTCATGGCAGATCAACAATCTCCTCTTTTGATTATGGAGTAGCAGTTGGTACAATTGCTTAATGCTATGCACTTGCAATTGAGCAATCAAACTCAGTTGATAGCGGCGTTCATGGCACGTGGTACAACTCCTCTTGCTCTTGTATGAAACACAAAATCCCTAGGCCTCAAAGTGGAGCTGAAAGGGCACCATGTGGTAGTGGCCGAAGCGAAAGCCAAACAAGCGTAACACGTTTGGACTAAAAGCTCCGACTTGAAAAGGTCGAGAGTGGGAGTGGAACTCCCAACGAAGTGCTCGAGGAACAAACACAAAGTGAAAGAAAAGTGAGTCTCTAGAAAAGGGACACAAGAGGACCGACACATGACACGTGGAAGGACCTGAGATGGAGTCCAAGATGGAGTCTAAGATGGATCCAAGATGGATCCGAAATGGAGTTTGAGATGGAGTCCAAGATGGAGTCTGAGAAATGGGACTTATGGAGGTTGTGAATGAGACTCCTCCAAGTGGTTGGAGGTGCGGTTAAGTGACTAAAGTAGAATGGAAAAATTAGTCGATTACAACTTGGTATCGGAGCTGTTCCTTAGTCCGACTTTTATTGATGCTTAAGTATATCACCACTTGTATGGGAATTAGAAGGTCCTAGGTATAGACCTATCCTCGAGGAGGAGCATGTCAAGAGGACATGGCTCTCCCCTCAAGTTCATGTGTGAACTTGTGCGCAATGTGGTGGATGGAAAAGGCCAGTAAGGGAACGACTTTGGGATCTTGGGAACAATATAAAGGTTTCCTCAGAAAGTTGAGGATGTGATCCAGATGAGCGTTTGATGCAGTAAACGGGCTAATGTAGTTGTGGTAAACAACTATAGTTAGGATCACGGGAAAGATGCAAACTCCAAAACGATAATGGAGTCACAAGATTACCCTCATATAGTTGAGGTTGGTGCTCATGAATTTGAGACTGGAATTGATGATCGTGGGAGGTCAAATACGGTAGAGGACACAAGTCCTTGAAATGGTAGCCGGGGCTACCTTTAATAAATGTTGGAACAACCCAAGGAGTTGGGGGTGTACTTAGAGGATGAGTTGGTATTCTCATCACATGGATAAGTGGTCATAAAGGGCAAAAGGTTGCCCCTAGAGAACAAATCAAGTGTCGGAGTAACACTTGCAAAGATGGTCCTTGTGAGTAGGACATGAATACAAGGAGTTGTATTCCAGTGAGCTAGCACCTCAAAAGTAAGACCTTATGGGTCGTCGGATTAGCAAAATCCAAAAAGTCTGATGACTCTAATAGAGTTAAGGAATAATCCTAAGGGATCGAGAAGCATTTGGACTGAGGTGCGTGGTGCCCCATGAAGGATGGGGAGGATCTTGAGATCCAAGTATGAAAACAGTGTGTATCTCATTGATGGCAAAATGTGCCACACTAAAGTCGTGGGAAAGGTGTTCCCAGAAGAAGCAACTTTAGTGCAGAGTTGTGTGCGAACACTATGGTGTAATGCTAATGAATAGTTGGCATGAGAAACGACTGGGTTGGTCTTGGCAAAGACTTAGACACAAGTGCAAAGTGTCATAAAGGCAGACTCATGGAGCCGATGGTGTGGGGACACCAAATGGGCCAAGGTGTGATACCTTCAGGTTATGTTGATGAGTTCATGAGAACCCTTTGCCAAGGGAATCCCAATGGAAATGAGAATGGCATAGCCTAAGCTGGAAAGCATGTGGTAGAGTGTGGTGACCCGGATAATGATGGAGGTGTGGAAGCATCAGCAATGAGTTGTGGGACTTGACAACTATGAGACAACTAAGCAGGAGGTGTAGGTAATTGGTTAAACGGGTAGAAAGTAGCTACCCAAGACTTCTTAAAGTTAAATATACCCTTATTGGGGATAAGTTGCTTATGTTGCGATATAATAAGTCAATGTCGTAAAAGGAAATGCTCATTGTCAAAGAGGCCATCATTGGGACACCCAAACACTCTAGAACACCAAGAGGTGGTATTTAGTGTTGCAAGGGCAATAAATAAGGCCCAAGGGACAAAGTCCCTGGCGAACGATGGATAGAAGGTGCTATCCAAACGTCCAAGATTGCAAAGATGGGAGAAATTTCTCTACCCGAATTGGACAAAGCCAAAAAGGGATTTTGGCAAAGGTAATGATGGGCATATAAAGGCATATGAGTAGCAACGTTAATCCCGGTGTGTGGGATTACAAGGTGAGCATACTCGGATTGAGGAACCACTCCCGAGGTTATCGGGTAGATTCATCCCTATGAATACTTGCAAAGGCATGGTAGAAAGTGCAAAGCCATCCTCCTAGTCTGAAGGAGAATAATTGAAGGAAACATATGAGGCCAAAAAGCAAAGTAGTAAAGGGATGGAACCGAACCATAGGAATCGACAGGCATAACTGAGGGTGGTTATGTAAATTGGGAGTGGAGAATCAAGAGGGTGCTCAAGGATGTTGTTACTAGCAACCGCGATGCCATGGAGAGTCTAAAATGGGGAATTATCCATATTAGACCATATGGTGACTAGGGAGCTTGCAAAGGAGAAGCCTTAGTGAGTTAAGGAATAGAGTTCCTTGAAGGTTCCCAAAGACAATTTTAGGTAGATAAGTACTTAGAAAGCCAAGTGTAAATGATTCTTAAAGTGCGTGAAATCAGAGTGGCGCAGCAGAAGCGTGATCTTGAAGCTAGCTATGAGGCGAGGCTATCAAGGTTGGGGAAATTGTTCCCGAGTGTTCAAAGAGAGGGCTTTGAACAAAAGGCGATGGTTAAAGACTTTCACGCTTATGCATGAACCATGTTACAGTAGCCGAATGACTTGCTAAGCGAGATTGGCGAGTCAGGGGAATAAATCCCCTAGTTGAAGGTGCTAACTTCAAAAGGGGTGGCCCATGGGGCCGAGCATGGAGGATATGCAAGATCACAAACTTGTCAAGCGAGAGGACTTGGTAGTGTAGAGGAACTAGGTTCCTAAGCTGTGATCTATAGCATGCT